CACTAATTTTACTAACCTGCTATTAATTATGGTGTCCCCCACGCCCCAGACGGCGTTTATAACCCGCGGAAGCAAGCGGCGCTGGCTGCTTCTGTTTTAAAACGGGAAAAGTTGGAAGTGGAATGCCTGGTCGTGTTGGAAAGTGTTAATCAGTAGGAAAGAGTGTGATCAGTGGAACTATTCACTTGAGCGTCACTCTGGTACAGGGGGTTAGTGGAGTGGCTGTGGCGCCTGGGGACCGAAGGCTCCGTGCCGCGCCGCGCAGGTACCGCGCACTGAGACATGTCTGCGTTAGCTCCCCGCAGCTCCCTGCCACGCCAGCCAGCGCAGAACGGAGGAGAGAAGCCCTACCATGGCACAGCCATCGCTACCAGATTTTAGCCGAAGCCTGGAGTGATCGCAGGTAAAAAATTTCTTCTTTTGGTGATGATGCTTGTCAGTGTGTGTGTGTGTATGTGTGTGTGTGTGTGTGTCTCTATGGAAGCAGAGGGTGGAGGGCAGCGGTGGGGCTTACTCCCCCGCCCCCCTTCTCCTTCGGAGCCTGCTTTAGCAGCAAGGCAGCTGAAAACGAACTGCTGGAGGGAAGAGAAACTATCCGTGATGAATCATTTGGCTTTGTGCAATCTTTACCTAGGACAGAGGGTAAATGTATTTTAACATACGTGTGTTATTTCTTGGGAAGGGGGTGTGGATATGATATTCAGCGAGCACTAAGGTAAGGTACTGAGTCAAACTTTCTGGATTTTAAGACGAACTTTAAAAGACAGAATGTGACCTTGCAAGCAGGAAAGTTTTGCCTTCGCAGGGAAGTAAGTTGAAGCTGTCGGCTGCCAGAGAGCTCAAAGGTGGTGGTGTCTGAATGCCTGCAGGTCTGCAGCACTGGGGGTACAGGAGCTGAGAAAGGAAATCTTATACAATCTTTGCTTTGCTAGTGAAAGCGTAGTTGCGATGCTCTGCACCGAGCAGGTAAATGTGGGCATGTTGTGGGGTCCATCTATAGCCATAGAGCACCTGCCCAGGTCACAGCATTTGCTTCTCTTGCTGAAAAGTTTGGTGTGGGGGTGTAGGTGCGTGAGTGTAGGTGTGCATGTAAGAGAGAGAGAGAGAGAGAGAGAGAAAGTGCTGGCTCTAGTTCTTAAGTGTGAAAAGTTAATAAGTACAAAGAACAGAATGAGCATGTGAGGCCTTTCTGCTCTAATCTAGATTGTTTGCCAAGAGGATTGAAGATTTACAAAATGAAAGCATTCAAATGGATAGCTTTGAACAACTGATTTTACATGTAGTTGTAAACTGAGTAAATTAATTAGCAGTGCCTTCTTATGCAACTGTTCTGTTGGTCATCATGGCTCTGCCAATCCCAAGCCATGGCATGGGTTTGTGCAGGTCGGCAGCATCGTCTCACTGTGCCTCGATTCAGAGTGCAGGAGGTGCAGTTACACCTCAAATTAGCTCAGGAAAAAAAGACCAACGTGGTATTTACTGTCAAACAGCAAGTTTATGGGAGCTAACCTACTTGAAAATGTTGTAGGCTGCCCTCGGTTCCATGTCAGACTCCAAATGGGCAAGACATAGAGCTTCAGAGCGTTTGTCAGGCTGTGTCAAATGTTGCTTTAAGTCTGTAACATGAAAAGAAAGCAAACTCGACTGAAAGAGCTCACTAAAGTCTGTTTAGCCCATAAGCAAATTCCGTTGCTGAAATATTTCCAGGAGTGGCAATAACCCCTCCAAAAGAGAAGGCGATGAAAACGCAGATAGTAAGTGTAGCTGCATTAACTGCCTCTAGATCATGTCCCTGAAGACGTCCATCAAAGCCTGAGTCCTGAAGAGGTTCTGTTTTACCTGCTGTGGCCTGTTCCAGCATCACACTCTTTCATTCTCATTCCATGTTTTTACAATAAAACTTGTATGAGCATTGGCTCCAGGTTCTCAGAGGAAAAGCTCATAACCCTGAGAGAGAGACCTGGCTAGGCTTTGGATGGGAAATTCCTGCTCGCCTGAGTGTGCAGGCTGGTTCTGACCAGAAGGGAACTCTCCAGCGTTTCCTATTGATCGCCATGGGTTTCCTTGCTCAAACTTTGGAGAAAGCTGTGTGTGTTTCTTTCTTGAAAGCTGTTAACTGCATTGTACAGGAAAGGGGCTTTGACGAGGATCAATTTTTATTGCACAGCAAAGACTTGCATTTTCCAAATGCTTAAGGATATAGCCTACAGCATTAAGCGTCTTTGCTTGGATTTGAACAGTGTTACGTTGTTTATGTGAAAGGACCACAAAGGTTATTTTAAATCATTGTGAGGCTTAATGCATGTTTGTGCTCTGGCACCAAAAATTCAAGATGAAATATAATTGTGTTGAGTTTCTTATCAACAAAGGGCCATTATTTGTAGACTGTAAGTGAAACAAGACATCAACAGTGGGGGAGGACGTAATGTCAGCTTTCAGCGTTTAAGTGTTTAAGGTTATTAAGTTTTTTTTGTCGATTTTCTTTTTGTTTGTTTGTTTTGGTGGAGGTTTTTTAATGACTGCTTTCTAGGGAATACAGATTGGAACTGACACAAAGCTGACCGGGGGTAAAGTAATAGAGCAGGCAGGCTGCAAAGAAAAATGACAAATAATTATCATGATTAATACAGGAAAGTTCAGTGCGAAAATGGGCACTAGAGTATTTGCATGGCGCAGTGAAAGACAACTGTGATATATAAATAGACAAGGACTATAAATATTGAATTTCTCCTTGTATTTTAAAGTTTAATGGACTCATCTAAATATCAAAACCTGTAGTGTATTGTTGGCCACTGCAGACTTTACATCTGCAGTGGGGAAAAAAAAAAAAAAAAAAAAAAAACAAAAAAACCAAATAAACCACAACTTCAGGACATTTCCCAAACTGTAGCCTGGAAAACTGGGAGGACTTCTTCAGGCAGTTCTCCAGCTCTCCCAGCTAATTATAGTGCTTTACACCGAGCCGCTCTTGAGATAAGTGCAACTATTTTCTTCCCTAGCACCGGTGAGTTTTATTCTGGAGCTTAAACAAACATCCCCCAGCGCAATGGGCACAGGAGGCAGAGGGAGCGGCACGGAACACTGCCTGCAGACCATTGTGTAAGCACTGGGTGTCTTTTCTTCCCAAACAATGCAATAGTCCGTCAACACTCCGCACAGAAGGAAGCTGCTGGTACAGAGTCGCTAAAAGTATCGTTATACTTTGGCAGCATCATGGTATAACGCAGGAGGAGGAACAGAGAAGCCTTTCTATATAAGAAACCCAATGGCAAAGTTATTAATATTCTCAGAAATAAAAAGGAATTAGCATTTCAGGTGAGGAAAAAAAATGCACTTTCTTCCCATCCAAAAATCAATACAGAATTCCAAACCGATTATTTATGTCATTTGATTCCCTTTCTTTATACGTTTCTCCCGGCTACAGATACTGAGCTGTCAGGATAATTTGCATGTACTTTATCTGATATCTTTTATTTGCAAACACTCTAAAGCGCCATAAAACGCCTCTTGTTGTAGTCTAAGTCGATCTGAGAACTAGTATTTTCATCTGTAAATTAAAGCAATTACGCAGCAGATATTATATTATGTGTACTGTGGTCTCCAGATAGTCATCAATCACCCTCAATCGAGCTGTCAGTGTGGGCAGATTCGTTTCTGGGAGGCAGTCTTCCAGCTGGGGAGAAGAAGAGAATATCATCATTAATTAGAGTGTGACCCTGGGGCTATTCACATGTCTGAACCCAGGAATCTCTCTGAGCAAGTCTGCACACCATGGAGCAGCGTTCGACTGCACCAGCAGCCCAGCTTCAGCCTCGGAGCTGACTCCTCCGCTTCCCCCGTCCTCCCGGGGGCTGCCTGCCCGCCCTGCCTCGGTGGTGCCGGCCGTCGGGGGAGAGGTGCTGGGGCTGCCAGCATCTTCCCCCCACGGCCCGCTCCCTCCGAGCGTGCAGCACAGGGGGGTTGCTGCCTGCTTGTGTGGGGGGGGGGTCCCAGACCCCTGGAGGGTAGGGAGGCTGATGGCAGCGGTGGGATGGGTAGGGTAGAAGGGGGTGTTGGAAGTTTGAGACGGGATCAAAGTCGTTTTAACGTGAAAAGTCACATCTTTTCCATCATTCCCCGGAAGACGCTCGTAGGGTTTTCTACCTGTAATCACACGCCTGGAATAAAAGCCGAAAAGAAAAGCAGGATTGCTTATCATGTGCTTTATTGTTAGCGTTAGCGCTAATTTTAACTGTTGATTAAATCTTAAATGAAGACTCAGTCGTGTGTCCCTTCATATGTCTTGTTTGTAATTGAGACTAATTATTACTGTGGGGTGGGAAGAAGCAGCTGCTCATTAATTAATTTCTAATTAAAAGTGCTTACTAGCCTTTCAGTGACTAAGGAGGGTGGGGAAAATAGCTGATACAACATTGATCCTCCAGATTAAAAACATTCATTTCCTTCCCTTGCCCGCAGAAATATATATGTTGTAAGCAGGCGTTGCTGCCACCGAAGAGCTTCCCAAACTTTTCGCCCCTGTTAGGCAGGTTGAAGGCGATGCTGGAGAGTCTATTTTCCATGGCAGGGGAACTATTCCCGAAAATGAGTGTTAAACTTACAGGCAGGTTAATTTGAGTAGGTTTTGCGTGACGTCAGAGGCTCGGCTCTTTTAAAACAGCGCTCTGGTGAGCTGATGCATTTGTATCACTTTTCTTCTTCCCACCTTTTATTTTTCCGTGGGTGCAAAGTATTTATTTTTGCCATCACGTCTGCCTGTCTCGGAGCCTACATGTAACAATTATTTCTGTGTCGTAGTTATAGCGGGAAAGGTACTAAAATCGCCGTACATAGGAAAAAAAAAAAGTTTAAGTTTTCATGTAAATAAATTAAATGTGTGGTTTTCTGCTTCGTCCTATAAGCATCTAGGGACCTGTGGTTACCAATCAATTGGTACAACAGAGCAGAGCCAGGCTGCAATAGCGTGCAGATCAGACGCCTCGCCTTGTTTGTAGATAACTGGGAGCCTCTGTACCATGTCCTATCCTCAGTTTGGCTACCCTTACTCCTCAGCACCCCAGGTAAGAGTTTTTGCCTACCAACGTTAATTGATTAAATTTCAGTCCTTATGGATGCCTTCCCTCCGGGATGAGGGCGGCAGCGATCCTCTCCCGCACGCGGTAGCGGCAAAGCAGATGCTCGCCCCGCAGCTTTCCAAGATGACCAAGTTCTGTGTCGGGCACCAGTTTTAAAACGGGAAGAAACATGTGGGATTTAGGGTGTTTGGGGGTGATAAAGATGCGTGGGAGATGATTACAGAGATGAGAGAGGTGAGAAGGGGAGCTAGAGATCCCCAACCCCCACCCCTCCCTTTTTATTTTTTTCTCTTTCACGATTAAATTCACAGTTTATCAATTAAACATAGACGTACGGAGGTCCGGACCGTAGAAACAGAATGGGATATTCTAAACCAGCAGGTTAATAACAGATGCGTGCGTGGCTGGTACAAATCTGCAGTCAAAATAAATATGCATGAATGACTTCGAAAAAAAGGTTTAAAACGCAGATGGGAATCATTGTGCGGCAAGAGGAGAAAACGGTGTAAACCCCAATCTTACGAAAACACCCCAGGAAAGGTTAGCTTTTAAATGGAGAGGGCCTGAGGAATGTATTATAGAGGATTAAACATCCACAGTCACGGGGCGTTCTGATGTTGTGGAGTCGTTTTAAAAAACTGATAAAATACTTGTACCTCTGCGCTTCTCCAGAGCGTTTCTATCACAATTGAAGTAAAATACGGCAAGGGAGGGAGGGAGGAGGGCGGGCGACACCCCAAAGCTACGACCTGGTTTGAAAAAAAAAAAAAAAAAAAACAAAGCAAAACAAACGCAAACAAAACCCCACCAAACTCACACATTCTAAAATCAACCGAACCCAAACTTGGTTTCACTTTAGGAAGTTCCCCCCACCCCGCCCTCAGCGCCGCTCTCTTTCCCTCCAGTTCCTGATGAGCACCAACTCCCTGACGACCTGCTGCGAGACCAGCAGCCGGACGCTGGCTGAGACGGGGGCGGCCGCCTCCGCCCAGACCCCCGTGTACTGCCCGGTGTACGAGAGCCGCCTGCTCGCTACAGCCCGACACGAGCTCAACTCCGCCGCCGCCCTGGGGGTCTACGGCGGACCCTACGCCGGGCCCCAGGGCTATGGAAACTACGTGACCTACGGTACCGAGGCTCCCGCCTTCTACTCCTTGGTAAGCCGCCCCGGGGGATGCTGGCTCGCTCCCTCCCGCTCTCCCTCCGGCCGGCCCCGCGCTCCCCCCGTGGCGAGGCCGCTCGGCGGGACCCCCTCCAGCCCCGGGCGGCGGCAGCCCCGGGCGCTTCTCCTCCGCCCCGCCGTGCACTCCCCGCGTCCAGCCCCGCGGTCAGCAGCTGTTCCAGCCCGGCGCTCGCTCCTCATGGTAACGCAATTAAAAGTCGCGCCTGATGAGCTGGCGGCCGAGTGCGGAGGGCCTGTCCGGGCGGGCAGTTTAGCGCGACCCAGACCCGGGCTTGCAAGAAAATGATGCGCTCTTCCCATACAGCCTTTTTTTTTTTTTTTTCTTTTTTCTTTTTTTTCCGCCTGCACCGTAACAGCGAGAGTTAATATCGCTATTGATGTGGCCAGGCTCCGCGACCGAGGGCCCCCCGGCAGGTCCTTCGCGCCGCTCCGGGACGCGTGCGGGGGAGCCGGGCGGCGGGGCCGGGCTCTCCCGGCGGCGGGGGCTGAGGGCGGCGGGCGGTGTCTCTTGCAGAACAGTTTGGATGCGAAGGACGGGAGCGGCTCTGCGCATGCGGGCATCGCCCCGGCGGCTGCCTACTACCCCTACGATCACACCCTCAGCCAGTACCAGTACGACAGGTAAGCGCCATCCCCACCCTGGCGCCACCCCCTCCCCGCCATCGCCTCTCCCCGCCCCGCCCCGCCAACCTGTCTCCTCGCCGCTCAGCATCTCCCGGCTCCAGCCATGCCGCCTCCCCTTCCCCACACCGACACGGGGTCCTCCGCCCCCCGGGCGGGCGGTAGCGCGGGGGGCAATCCCTCTTAACCGGGGCGGTAATTACCTTTCCCTGCGCGGAGGCAGGCTTGGGCATCCCGTGTATATTTATTAGTTTTAAACCAGCGCAAACCCCTTACGCACCGTTCCCAGCTCAGAGGCCCATTGGGCGCCAGTGACCTTTCCTGGAGGATGTGCATTAAATATTCAGTCGCAGCCCAGTGTCATCTGCGTTAGGTTCCTACAATTTCAGGAACAAAAGGGTAGAGGAGATTACTAATAAAAGGAGTAAGAGGAAATATATTTCTATTAACACTTACACCCTGGGGTCACCCAGATGAATTTTGTTTGGGGGGGACTAATAAAACGAGCGGAAAGAGGTATTTCTGTGAGTTTGCAAGCTGCTAGGATTTTCTTGCTCCCCCAAATGTTGACATTGACTTTACCGCAGATAAAAGCAGACGATTCCTTCCCTCTTTCCGCCACCACCGCCAAGGCAGAGGGGAAATTTGCATCGCCCGCTGTTGCTGCTGGCTGAACCCTTCCCTCTTGCTTTCCCTCCTCGGCTTGAATTCTCTAGGCTGGTCTCCCTCATAAAGCTGAGCTATCCTCATCCCTCTTAAAATCGAGCTGTCCTCACCCATCTCCCCCCTCTCCGGTCCAGCCACCCTCTGGGGGATGCCGCAGGCAAGCGGCCGGGGCCGGGGCTCTGGGACCCCGCGTCGGGCAGGTGAGACCGGGCGGGGGGCGAGAGCGAGGTGTCACATTCCGGGGGCTCCGCCCTGCCTGCAGGTACGGGACGATGGACGGTGGGACGCGGAGAAAAAACGCCACCCGAGAGACGACCAGCACGCTGAAGGCCTGGCTGCAGGAGCACCGCAAGAACCCCTACCCCACTAAGGGCGAGAAGATCATGCTGGCCATCATCACCAAGATGACCCTCACCCAGGTCTCCACCTGGTTCGCCAACGCCCGCCGGCGGCTCAAGAAGGAGAACAAGATGACCTGGCCCCCGCGGAACAAGTGCTCTGACGAGAAGCGGCCCTATGAGGAAGAGGACGAGGAGGAGGAGGAGGGTTCGCAGGAAGAGGCGATGAAGAGCGGGAAAGCCGAGGGTACCCTGCTAAAACCAGGCACTTAGCGGTGCGGCCGCGGGGGCTCGGCCGGCAGCTCGCCCCCGGGGCGGGCCTCGCTGGTGGGGGCGGCCGCGGGCCTCGCTGGTGGGGGCGGCCGCGGGGCAGCGCGGCGCCGACAGTGACCGTGTGTCTTGTTTTTGCTGTCCCTTCCCCCGCCCCCGCCCCGCAGAACCCACGGGCAAGGAGGAGAAGGAGCTGGAGCTCAGCGACCTGGAGGACTTGGACGCCGCCGAGTCGGAGAGCTCGGAGTGCGAGCTGAGGCGGCCCTTCCCGCACCCGCTCCCGCATCCGCACCCGCTCCCGCTCCCGGGCGGCAGCCACCCGCCGCGGGCCGCAGAGCTCCCCGCCAAGATGCCGCCGCCGGCTGCCTCCGGGGAGGAAGAGGAGGAGGAGGAGGAGGAGGCGGCGGTGGCAGAGCGGGCGCGGAGCTGCCTGAAGACGGCGGCGGAGGAGTGCGGCCCCGACCCGCTGGGCGCTCGGCAGCGCGGCTGCGAGTCCAAGATGTGCTTCCAGCAGGGGCAGCAGCTGCTGGAGGCGAAGCCCAGGATTTGGTCCCTGGCGCACACTGCCACCTCCCTCAACCAGGCCGAGTACCCCTCCTGCATGCTGAAAAGGCCGGGGGGCTCGGCCGCCGCCGCCGCTCCCGCCCCGGTCAGCGTCATCGACAGGCACCAGGATTCGCCGGTCACCAACCTCAGGAACTGGGTGGACGGGGTGTTTCACGACCCCCTGTTCAGGCACAGTACTTTAAACCAAGCCCTGAGCAACACAACAGTTTCCTGGGCTACCACCAAAGGAGCCATTCTGGAAACGGGCGCCTTGGGACGCGCGGTGGGGAACGGCGCCAATGTGCTCAAGGGGCAGCTCTCAAACCTGGCCCACCATGACTCAAACAAAGAGTTTCTGGCGTTTCCCAAATCAGGAAGCAAAATGTTTTGTTCCTAACAGGCCCGCCGAGGGGCAAAGGACTTTCTAACGCTTGAAGAGTCAGCTACACTGAAAAGAGACTTGCAAGAGTTTAAATTTAAATATAAAACTTTTTCTTCCTTTTTTTTTTTTTTTAACAAACAACATAAACGAGGATTTAAAGTTCAGTTTGCTCAGTTCAACGGAAAGACTTTGCTCATTGCTGTTCTGAACATTTTCTCCTGGCTGCGACTTTAAGGGATCAATGTCGTGAAAGTTATTTAATTCCATGTCCAAAAAGCACGTACTATAGTGTAGACCTACTTATAAAGTTTACATCCGAAAGTTTACAAACGGGAAATTTTAATTCAGATTTAATTTAAGGCATGCCGATATTAGTTATAAAGACTTTTCGAGAGTTTTTCCTCCTGATTTCCTTGTTAGCATATAATTCACAAACAGCACTTCTACTAAGTTTACACCTACTGCACAAATTTATCTTGACAAAAAAAAAAAAAAAAGAATATGTTAAAAGGTATGCTCACTCCAATAAATTGTCTGTTTCAGAGGTAACACAAGTGGTGGCGTTTTGCATTGGGCAACAAACAACTTCCGTGTTTCAAATTCCCCCTCGGAGCCGATCCCGGTAATTCCAAGGACTGTCAACAGGCTGCCGGGAGAGGGGAAGAGAGGCTCAGCGCAGCGCTGCCGCGGGACTGAGGACGGAGCCCGGGAGGCACGCTGCGCGCAGGAGGGATGCTGGGCTGCGCTCCGCGGGGCAGCGCCGGGCCCCGGCCGCCTCCCGGGCCGACAGCGGGGGCACCGGCTGCCCGCCGAGGCCCGGCGGGCCGGGAGCATCCCCCCTTCCCCCTCCCCTCCTTCCCGAGCTGCGGGCGGGCGGGGGTCGGCCCCCAAGGGCCGGGCTCTGCCGCGGCGTCGCCTCCGCCGCGCGCGGAGCAATTGATTCACATGGAAAATTTGATCTTTTAAAGAACCGTTTTAGCTTTCCAGCTCCTCTGCCAGTGCGGAGAATCGCTGATCCGCCATGAATATTTCAGCACTTCAGTACAGATGCTTTACCGTTTTGACATTAAATAGAGTGCAGCCAACAAAAAGAGAGAGGGAGGAAGAGCGCTCTCGACGTGTGATTCAGGAGCACTCGCAGCCAATTTACCACTTAGATAACAGGCGCTTAAAAGATTTCATTTCCTTCCCCGGATGGGAACAAACTTTACTGATCCCCGGACCGGGAGAGAGGGAGAACTGCTGGAAAAGAAACTGCGATGCAATAATAGATCCCGGCTTACCCGAGCCGGCCTATAACCCCTGAGCTTCGGCAGCCGGCGCGGCGGGGAAGAACCGAGAGCACCCGAAGGACCAAACTGACATCGGGACAAGCAGAAGAGCCTTCCTTGCCTCCCAGCATCCTCGCCCATCCCATCCCAGCCGCTCCCCGTCGGTCCACCCCCCTTCACAATAAATAAATAAGAGTACAATAAAGGGGAAAAAATATAAAGTCAACTATAAACGCAACCGAGAAAACACTCAGCCAAAATATAGCATACTCCAGTCTGCGAAGTTTCTAGCGAGACCTGTTAGTGCAAGGACTGAATAAAGGAATCCAGGTGCGGAGATCAGATCAAGCCCTTCCCCTCTCTGCGAGCAGCCGTAATTGGATTGTATCCAGTCATATTCCCTGTCATTGTATTGACTTTCGCTCTCTTGGATGATATTATCGAGATCACTGAACCCCTCTGCTGATCTGGCTGTCAAAAGGCTCAGACAGGAGCCCCCGGCCTGGAAAACGTGCATCAGCCGAGATAATTTGAAGTGAAATTTTCATTTTGACAGTAAACCCCTCAATTTCTAAAGGCTCTGCACCCGGAGAGCTCGGTGGCAGGGGGAGGCTTTACAGAAAGCCCACGTCTTAAACTGAAAAGGGCAAAAGAACTCGAATTAGTTGTAATAGATAAAAGGGCAAAAATAAAGAGTCAAGGGTACTTGACAGTAATAGCGAAAGTGGAGTCTCGGGGGAGCCGCGATCTGAGCTAAAGGCTGGGCCGGCAGGAATTTTAATGCAGCCGGGGCGGCCGGCGAGCTTTGCCTCTGAAACCCTTTAGACAAAGCAAATTATTTTCAGCCAAACTAAAGAGACGGAGATGAAGGAGGCGAGGGAGAGGGAAGGGGAGAAAGGCGAGTGTTCGGGCTGCCCTCAGACCATTGGTAGAGTCAAGCGGGATGGGGCATAAACCCCTCCGACTGCTGCGACGGTGATGTTAAAGCGGGGAGGTTTGTGTGTGCCAGCCTTGCTGGATGTGCAGGGACTGGAGGGGACACGGAGGCTCCCGGTGGGCTTCGGTTTCCATGCGACAGAGGCTCTGCAGAGTGCAAGGGGACTCCATTCTTTTTCCTAACACAGGGACAGCCCAGTGTGTGTGTGGATTGCGTGCAAAGAGAGGTCTCGTCCACCGAGCACCCAAATCTCTCTCACTCTTAAAAGCCCCCTGACTTCGAGCAGAGCCGGCCCTCGCTGGCCTCCCTGGGCTGGCTCTCTGCTGGTGACCCCGCAAGCCATATAAGTAATTTTACAAGTCTTTGCTGGCCGGCTTTGGCCGGGTCCAGGATTCAGTTCGGACATCCTGCTGTTTGGGAGGCAATACCCTCCCCTCTCCCATCCCCCTCCCCTCCTCCCGACTTAAAATGAAGGTGATAACACTGTGGGCAAAGCAAAGGCGCACTGAAATACCAGAAGCGGATAGCTTCTGAAATACCAAAAGAAAAGCGGATCAACACTTTATCCCTTCATTTTCGTGTTATTGTTGTTATAAAACAAGTTTGAGTAAGTTTATGACTGCTGTATAACAAGAGCAGGGCTCTCCAGACCAGAGAACCGGCAGTATCTCGGGTCTGGTAAATCTGTGTGTGCTCACACCAAAACATTGCCCATCCTGAGAGGAGACCGTGTCAGTTAAGGGGGAGGGAAAAGAGTTTCTTGCTTTAGTACACAAACCTTATGACTTAGATCAGCCATGAAATGCAGAGATCTTTCAAAAGGGTTGGGGTTCTTGTTGATTGGTTGTTTTGATTTTTTTTTTTATATATTAACAGAAGAGTGTGAGAAATTAATTTTGCCATTTGATTCAATAGCACAAGTCAAAGATCAGGTTCTGCTGCTTTAGAGAAAGCTGCAGGGCTGAAAGGGAAAGCCGTGCAGCTCGTAGGTCTGTACAAAGCAGAAATATAAAGGCAGGCTGAGAAAGAAAAAGGAGGGGAAAAAAATCATAGAGAAACGTCTTGAAACTGAGAGACTCTAAATCATTCAGCCATGGCAAATTCAAACACACAAAGGAGGGGATGCTAAATTAACAGTGCTTTTTACATAGAGCCCAAATAAAACTGTAATCAGCGACGCGTTACTTTTCATTAAGCGAGTTTGACAGGAGCATATTCAGCCTCGACAAGGGAACAGGAGCGAAGAAATATACGGCTCTCCCAGCCCGAGTCATAAGATAATTCCTTAAGCTCCATTAACAACTCTTAGCCGCAGGAAATGGGCTCCCTGAAAACATCTCCAAATCTAAAAGCTTTATCGACCTCTCAAACCTCTGCTGATGGTTCTATTTTTTAAAAAAACTTAGAGGCGAGACGTCCAGCAAGGTAATAGACTTTGACACAACACCTTCTTAACTAGAGAGAGAGAGGCAGAGAAAACGAGACCTTAAATGATATTTAAAAGGCAGCCAATTAAGATTTAAAATGATTGTCTCCTGAGATTATGCATGCAATTTATGTCATCTACTTTTTTTTCCCAGACATGCATGCAAAATTGCAACGGGGCATATTGCCTGTTCCTTAAATGATGATGATGATGATGATGATGATGATAATAATAATAGAAGAAACAGTAGCAATTAACAATCTGGAGCTATCTCACGTAATTGCAAACGATGATCCAAGAAAGGGCTAGCGTTTAGGTAATCTGATTATAGAGCACCTTGCAACAGCCAGCTTATTTATAGGTGTCTAATTAAAAGACAGATAGATTAAATGATTCACACATTATCCACTAATGTTCAGGAGCACATTTCTTTTCATCCTGAGTGAATATTTGACTATTAAAGTCATGTAATTAATTTATAGTCAAACAACCCAGTGTAGCATCTCCTTCCCACTGGCCGCATGGTAAAGTGTCCAAGAAGACTTTGTCTTGGCAAGACTGATTATATACTTTTAAGATATAAAGGTTCAGAAGGAGACTCTGACTTACTACACGTCTTTTTGCTACACGTTTGCCTTTTCCATTTAAATCTGACCTTCAAATAATATGAAGGCTTGCGTGTGTGAAAGTGTATCCAGTTAAATGCCAAGAAAAGAGTTAATGCTCACACTGTACCATTTCATGCAGAAATTCCGCAAAATGAAAGAAAATATTATAACTTGCTGATTTTGTGAGAGACCAGAAATTGTTTCAATGAGTGTGATTCTAGATGAATTAGGTGAAAAAAGATCATTCAAACGCCACTGCGTTTTGGCCAAAGGTCAAAGTGTTTTGGTCCCCACTTTGATGAAGTTAGTTCTGTCTATGAAGCAATGAGCTTGCCTCTGAGTCCTGTGTCTCTTGAGGGCTGAGCATGTCCTTATAGTCCTTTTAAAAAGTGATGAATGAAGGAATGTTAACAGTCAAATTACACGTTTATTTGCATGTTAAAAAAGAAAAAAAGTAATAATTGTGTTTGTTCTTAAAGAGGAATCTATTTTTAATAGAATAGATAACCGTCAAAACACCAGTCCTGAAATGCAACATCTGGCATGTTTCACCTCGCATTTACTGTCAAAAAGTCTATCAGGTGCTTAGGACTTGTGGGAAGCGTTCTCTTCATTCTCCTCGTGAAATGGCATCATGGCAGAAAATAATCCTCAATTTGTAGGCCCCTCAAAAGGTAGTCTTAGTATACACACCAGCTATATGTGTCTGGAGGCTGTTTAATACATAAGTCATTGGTCTCCTGTACCACATCACTATATAGCAAAACCTGAATTTGGCCTAGAACTCGAAGACACATTTCACATAATCTGAAGAACCAAGGGAAGAGGAAATGCTTGGGAGCAATTCAAAAGCAAATTATAGTAATTGTTTCCCAGTGTGCCCCCACCCCAATGAGAAATGGGACTGTTTTCAGGGAGGAAAGAAAGGAGCCTCCATGCGACCTAGAGAGGGGTCTATGCAAGCCCCGCTGCTATCCTGCTTCTCACAGTGGGGAATGTGGTCTGGGCATGAGAACAGTGATTGACCTACTTACAGTGCTCAAGAGCTATCTCTTGTCCACCCCAGTTTAAGGAAAGCAAAAAAAATGAAGGAAATATCCTGAAGGAAAGTATTCTCTTAACATTTTTGGTTTTTTTCTTGACATTAAAAAATTCTTGTATTCATTCATTTGGCTAGACAAAAGCAATGGCATAAAATCTTTTTATTCCCAGTTTTACCTCCATTTCCTTTCTCCAAATCAGCATGTCATTATTTAAATTTTGAAATGGGTTTCAGTAGTAATTGGTATTTTTTCAGTGGCTTATGT